CTTACATCTGTGAATCACACTTCTGCTCCACCCCCCCCCCCCACCCCCCNAATCCCCCTTCTGCCCCCCCCCCCCCCCCAACTCTCGACCTTTTGAGACTTCGATGATCCTCCCTCCCCCTCCCCCTTGTGAAGCCTGAAGACAACCAAAGGGCTATTGATAACTATCATAAAGCCTACCATTTGGTATCAATAAATCTCTCCTCTATGGTGCTACGCGGTTAGGTTGGAAAAATCATGCAAAATCATTTGCTTTCCAAACTACCTGAGAAAAATAAAATAAAGTGGCAACACTAGCCCTACTTCTCTATCCTTCTACTTCGCACTCTCTGCTATTTGATCTCATTTGCTCCCAACAATAAATTAGGTAATTTGCTTCAATTTAGAAAATGAATCCTCTATTTTTGGATCTCCCATATATCGAAGCAATGGAGGCTTGCTTCCATTGCGTTCCAATCTTTATCTTATAAAAAGGAAACTATTTGATCTAATTTATACTCGTAATGCAATTAACGATTTCTGTTTGGGGAAAAAAGTAACAAGAACTTAATTCACACCTTTCCCGATTTCCATTGGTTTTCAAAACTGAGTCAAATTGTTTGCAAACTGGCGTGTTATCGCCCCGTCTCTGAGTAATAGTAACTAATTAGGTAATTACCTCCCCCCCCCCGGACCTAACAAAATCGAGTGTAAGAAGTTGACTTAAAAGAAGTAATAAATAACCAAAGCAATTGAAGATTAACGTTTTAAAGCACATACGAAATGATTCCCAGATTAAGTTTTCTGGCGCTCTAGGTCCTATTAAAGACGTCATAGAATCAAATGTCATCGGCAATGCTTAGATGACGTTTAAAGCGAGACCCTTCAAAGTTCCTTCTTAGCAAAAAAACTTCTTGAGAGAGAGAGAGAGAGAGAGAGAGAGAGAGAATTGAAGAGATGGAGAGAAGGGGAGTGACGTCAATGTATCTAGGCCTCTTACTTCACTGGACTTTGGACTTAGACAGTGCAATGTTTACCATAGGGGCATTTCGGGTTCAAAAATGTATATTTCATATTCCCCAGGATTGCAAAAAAATGCTCCTAGGAGATTATTTTAGAGTCGTAGTGGGTGGTATTTTAGCCTCTCTGCAATGTTTGCCAATGGTGGAGAAGGTGAATGACCTCTCGGGATTTTTTCCGCATCTTATCGTTTTGACAGCGTCGGAGATGAGGTGAAATATTCAAACTGCAAGGCCTTTGACACCTATTTTCGGCTGTACTTCGTTCCTCCTTTAAGATGAAATCACGACATTTAAATTTTTCTAAGTGAATTAAGTTATCAGTGCACCAAAAAGTTTCAGAATCGTTTTAAAACTGGCGAAGGGTAGGGCCTGAATTTCATGCTCTACCGATGCAAAGACGAGCAAACAACTGTCGTACTGTTTCTATAATGGATGAGAGATTTTTTGGAAATGTTGGGTTAGCGTTTATATATAAATCGAATGTGTGTTGGTCTTGTGTTCATTCTTTGCCTTTTTTAGTTGCCCCATGATTCAAGTATTATTATTATTAATATTATTTAAAATGGCAAGCTTTATGATATATATCGTTAGCCCCTTAGTTGACTTCAGCTTTCCCCATAGGTGTGGGGGCACATAAATAGCAGTTCATTAGCTGTCTTTTTGTCTCCCAGTATCTTTGGGTTTCCGTCGTTGTCTTTAGGGCTGGACACCGAATCAGGTGGGTTGAGTGTTTATTCCCAATCTGTAAAGATGTTTTACCAGGCAATCATGTCCGTTACGTAGTCCAAACTCAGCAACGGCTTCTATTCTTGGTCAGTCGGCTATGTCGGAGGGGAACAATGTCCACTGTTTCTCCTTTGTTAGAGCTTTAAGTTCTTTGGACCTTGAGGTCTTAAATTCTCCCCTGATTAAGGTCTTCATTGTGTGGAAAGCCATCGGCCGGTCTATGCCTTGCAAAATAGTTGTACCCTTCTTAGCAAGTGCGTCAGCAAGCTCATTGCCTTTAATGCCACAGTGACCAGGAATCCACTGTTGGACCACTGTGTTATTTTTTCTCTCAGCAGCTGATAGAGTTTTTACTTTCGTTTATCTCAGGTGCTTTGGGTGGCTGATTCAAATATTTAATTTTCAAATAATGTTTTACTTCCCAGTCAATTTGTGCATGGAGTAATCAGACAAATTCATAGGCCTAATTGCATCCATTTCAGCTTCTATTCATTAAGCATGTATTATTTGTTTATTGACCAATTAATTTCTTTCAGATCCCTTAAAATTTACCCTAGTATTAGTGACGCACCCTTTCTAGCTAAATTTTAAGCAGAATAGCGCGAAAAAGAGAGTTAATTAGAAATTTCCACAATATTGAATTATTCAATTTTTTGTACCGTTAAAACACGTATTTTTCAATTCTACAATTCAATGAATATCTTATTTAGCAATTTTCGTTAAAATTCATGAAAACTGTTTAAATGCCCTTTATCAGCTTTTAATGGGGAGAAAAAGTAAGTAAAACTATCACTTCAAAGGTATTTTTTTTTAAATTATACGCCAACTTCCATGAATTGAATTACAAAAGAAAAGTTGAAAGGAAAGTAGAATATGTCAATGAGAAACACGAAAAGTGCTGAGTTTGCAGTCTGTGTTTGATAAGCACGAGAATGTTCTACAACTCTATGAAATTCCAAGATGCGAATTGCATGTGGATGTTAGCAAAAACGAGACAATGACCTTGGACAGGAAACAGCTTCACCGTTTCTTAACGCAATGATTAATAAGGATTTATAGAGTCTAATTCCCAATTGTTTTGAAGAGCTATAAAAGAAAAGTTTATCAAAAAGATTTGTTGACATCGATCACCGTGTGAACCCGATTATTGGATCGCTTGAATAAAGCACTACTTATTTCGAGCTCAGTAGACGTATACCCTAAAAGGTTTGCTCACGTATCGATTGGCCTAAATAGCATAATTTGTATGATCTATATTATTAATAATGGGGGGGGGGGGTAGATTTATCTCCATGTGGTGCAACCTGGGCAAAGTATACTCATACGGCAAAAGGCCTATTATTCGGCAGTTGACTTCTGACTTCAAACTGCCATCACCACACAGTATGTCATAGTATTAAGAAATATCCGAACCTACATGAGCTTCTTTTCCTTTCAGATTCGATTGATTTAGTTAGTTCAATTCAGTTTGTACCAAAATAGCTTTGCCTTTGTCCAAACTTTTAGCCGGAAGTTCAACTCCTATTAGTAGTATCACTTGAATAAAACCTGGTCAACTTCTTCCGTGCCCTTGAGAATAGGTACGGTAATAAGTACCATAATACCTCTCTCTCTACACCTCTAGGCTGGACTTGGTCGCTTAACAGTTGAGAATGAGGCTAATTTAAATCTCTAGCACTTCAGAATTAATTACAACAACCCCACGTTTATTCATGATTTAAATATTATTGCCGATTGACTAATGAAATAAAAGTAACATTGTGCATGTAGTGCCCCCTTCAATCAAATTAAAAATTAGATGCAAAATTTGCTGAATATAATAATGATAAACATCATTGCAATGCTGCAGCTAATATAATTCCAAGTGTAAATAAATATGTTTCTGTTAATCACAAAAGTACCTTCATTTGATTTATTAAGTGGTACGCGATTAGGTATTTGGATATCGAATAGGTGCAGCGATAACTGCTCAATTTGGAGCCTCAAGAATGCGGGTTCGAGTACAGAAATCAAATCATTGATAATGTAGTGCTCAAGGGGCGAAATTCAAGAGCTTCACTGAAAATCACCGTAAATATTTATTCTAAAAGGCAGGTGTTTTGATAATTATTATTAGCCCGTTAGCTGACTTCGGGCTTCACAGAGGAAGAGAATATCAAAGTGAGAAAAATTCGTGAGATATAGAAGAGACAGACAGACACAAAGGTAGATGAAAAGGCAAGGTGAGTACTGTGGAAGTAGTCGAATATGAAATGCGGTGGGGTCTTGGTAGTTTGAAGTGAGAAGTCAAGTGCCGATTAATAGACTCTTTTTGCCGTATGAATATACGTTGCCCAGGGTACACCACGTGGAGGTAAGTCTATCGCACACCCCATGATACCTATCATAACGCCTGCCATTTGAAAGTACGTTGTCCAGGGTGCACCACGTGGAGGTAAGTCTATCGTATTCTTAAGAATAATTGTTTAGAAAACCAGCAAGGGTTGAATGAATAATTTTCGAGTTTATTTTAACCGGATATCATTAACCCTTACCACTTCAATTCAGAAGTACATATTTTCATGTGAACCCACCAAGACAATGCTCGATGAATATACCTTTACATTTGTATCAAATGGCAGGCATTTTGATAGTTTCATTAGTCCTTTAGGTGACTTCAGGCCTTACAGAGGAGAAGAAATATCAAAGCGAAAAAGATTCGAGAGGGAGGGGGGGGGGGAACAGAAGGGTGTTTCAAAGATGTAAAAGAGACAGACAAAGGTAGAAAAAAGGTGAGGTGAGTACTGTGGAAGTAGTCGAATATGACAAACAGTGGGGTGATAATAGCTAGAAGCCAGAAGTCAAATGCCGGTTAATAGACTTTTTTGCCGTATGAGTATACGTTGCCCAGGGTGCACCACGTGGAGGTAAGTCTATTGCACACCCCATATACATTTACATGGATTCACTTAAATTGTCGCGAATAAAGTACGGTTACACATTAGCCTCCAAGCTATTCCGACTAAACATGCAGTTTTGACTTATTCTGTTTCTGCAACGCCGCTGCCTACTTTTATCGCAACCCCCTGCTCCAGCAATAAGTCAAAACAGAAAAATTGGGAAAAAATGGTATATGTTTATCAGATATGCATAGCTAAAAAAACATTCATTCATACATTCACCCATTCATTCGTTCATTCATATGTATATATATACGTATCCGAAATAAGCATTACCCTCTCAAAGTAATGAGAAAAGATGCGAGAGATCTACTAAAAAATCGATATCACAGCGTTTAGTTAACTTTTCCGGACGCTTTAAGCTGTGGCTGCTTAGTTGGTTGATTCTTTCTACGCAAGGAAACGAGCATCAGAGAGAGTTGCGTCACCAGACACATCATGTGGCCAGCGTAATTGAATCGTCTAAAATGGAGATCGAAACAAGGGGGGGGGAGGGTAGATCAAGTCCACTTATGCTAATGAGCATTTTCAGATGAACTTACGACCAAGCAATAATGCTGTCATTAAAGGATAGAATGACGAAAGCCAACGCGGTGTAATTAACCAAGAAGTAGGTCACGACTTGCGTTATGGCGTCATAGATATGAGAAGTACCCTCTCGTTGATTGGCTTTTGTCCAAACCCACTTAGTGTCAGGTAGCCACTCCAATATACGTGGACGAACATATTTTCGGAATTTTCTTCCAATCTGCATAAAAAACAACAAAGTTATGCTGTTTAAAACTCAGATTAAGTAGATAGCGGTTATTAAGGAACTTACGGAAGAATACCAAGCCATAGAAATGAAGAAAAGATAATAACCAGGATAAAATCCATGCCACAAAATAGATACAAAGAATACTGCAAATACACCAATACTACGAGGAACTCGATCAAAAACGATTATTCGCAGCCACAGCAAAGTTTGGAGGTTCCAGTTATCCATCAGTTCTTTGACACTTCGAGGGAACTAAAGTTTGCAATTTGATGATGAGCAGCCAAAACCTCTTACCTCAGCCTTTTTGAAGTTGAAGCTATTCACTAATTTGTAATCAGGTTTGTCATCTTGATCAAAGCCGTTGAATCCAAACCCAGAAGCCAGACATCCAAGTGCACCTGTAACAATAAAGTCAGCAACATTAGAAATATATATTCTACTGAAACTTAATTAGTAGTGGTAATTTATTTAACTTACAAAGGGACCAAGCGAAGTAGTAATGCTGGCGCATAGTGAAACCAGTGAATACGAGATAAGCGCATTTATGGAGAAAACTAAAGTTTTTGAAGGTCTCACCTACAGAAATGCGGAATTGAGGAAGTAAAATGGGGCTTACTTAGATAGAAGGAAGGTAAGAAAAACTGGCAAATGGCTAGGTAGATGAGAAGAAAGAGTACAGCTTGCAAAGCATAATTCAGCATTTCATTCTAGAATTGAGATGAAAAAGTAAATAAACAGAAAATAATTTAAAGTAATGTCTCCTTTTATAGAACCAACGGACTTACTCGAGGTTGAAGAATGGTATCGCGATGTTTTATCTAAAATAACAATACTCGGAGTATTAGTGAATACGGAATAAAGCGTGAAGACGATTTAACCAACACAGAAAAGATATGAACTCCTTGCAAGAAAGAAAAAAATAACATAACGATTTAACTAATAATAACTTGGAGAACAAAGACACTACATATTTGACGACTTCCTGCCAAGATATGGATTTATTAACGACCATTTGTTGAGTGGATCATCATTCAAATAACTGAATATACACCTGATATCTGCAATAGACAATGTATGAATTCCAAAAATAGTAATTAAATAATTGTTCAAGCTGTTAACATTTTTTCTCCCAATCACTTATTCAAAAAACCATGCACATTAGCGTAAAACCCTTAACAACAAAACACTCCACAATTTTTTCAATCAGCGACAAAACGAAATCTAATCTTGGTTGGGCCATTATACTAATTACATGCAATGCAATTTTATGGAACAATTAAAGCACATGCAACGGATTTAAAATTATACCTTTCTAGATCATTGGTCCAAAACGCGTAAGTAAACGGCACTTATCAAGGTAACCAACACCCTCCCCCCCTAGCAGAACAGTTGAAGGTGGGGGGAGATGGGAGATAACTGAACTATAAATCAATCAGTTGGAGTGGCTTTGCGGCCATCTTTGGACTATCTACCTACGTAATTGACCTTTGTTTTTGAGAGAGGACTTAACAAGGAAGTTCTAATTGCTTGAAGGTATTTATTTATTTATTTATATCAAATGGCAGGCGTTTTGATAGTTATCATTAGCCCTTTAGTTGACTTCAGGCTTCACAGATGGGAAGGAACATCAAAGTGAAAAAGGTCGAGATGGGGGGGGGGACAGAAGAGTGTTTCAAAGATGTAAAAGAGACAGACACAAAGTTGGAAAAAAGATGAGGTGAGTACGGTTGAAGTAGTCGAATTTGACATAGAGTGGGGTGATGGTAGTTTGAAATCAGAAGTCAGCTGCCGGTTAATAGACTTTTTTGCCGTATGAGTATACGTTGCCCAGGATGCACCACGTGGAGGTAAGTCTATCGCACACCCCAATTGCTTGAAGGTAA